TCGCACCATTACCCTGACTCAGTCACACATGGTGCAGCAGGTCCTTCAGCGCTTCGGCTTCACGTACTCCTCGCCTCAGGCCACTCCTCTGCCTACTCGCCACTCACTCTCAGCTCTGCCTTCGGATGAGTCCGTAGAGTCGAGTGGTCCGTATGCAGAGCTTGTTGGCTGCCTCATGTACCTGATGACCTGCACACGACCTGACCTTGCATACCCTCTGAGCATTCTTGCACGCTATGTTGCTCCTGGGAGACACAGACCGGAGCACATGGCTGCAGCGAAGAGGGTATTGCGCTACCTGTGCAGTACGTCGGGCATGGGGCTAGTGCTTGGAGGGCGGAGTCCAGTGGTCCTTACCGGCCACGCGGACGCTTCTTGGGCTGACGACCAGGCTACGCAGCGGTCGTCACAGGGTTACACCTTCAGCCTTGGTTCCGGTTCTGTCTCGTGGCGGTCTACTCGCTCGTCTTCGGTTCTCGGCTCCAGTTGTGAGGCTGAGATCTACGCCGGGGCCATGGCTGCACAGGAGCTTCGCTGGCTCACCTACCTGCGACCGACCTTGGAGAGCCGCCTCGTTCTCCTCCAGTGCTGTACGTAGACAACAAGGCCATGCTGGCCTTGTGTCGAGAGCAGCGCTTGGAGCACAGAACGAAGCACATTGCTCTCCGCTACTTCCTTGCTCGTGAGCTGCAGCAGCGTGGTCAGTTGCGACTTGCTTACGTGGCCTCTGAGGCCAACACTGCTGATGTGTTCACCAAGGCACTTGCGCCTTGTGACCATCAGCGCTTTTGTACCCAGCTGGGTCTTGTACCTGTCTTGCCTCACTTGCTCTCTTCTTGACTTTACTTGTACTTTGTCATATATATACCTGCTCCTGCTTATCTAGGTTTATATATATGTCTGTACTCCTGCATGTGAACTGGCCTCTGGCCCTGCTCTTGTGCTCGGACTGTGTGGTGACTTTGTGATCCACCCTGAGCTTGCTTTGCTTTGCTTTGTTTGACTGGTCTTGTGACCCCTTGTTCTCCCCCACTTTGCCTATGGGGGTGTGTCAGATTATTATAGCTGATGCATGTTTGTAGGCTATAGTGGGGTAGCACTTATGGGGTACAGTTTGCTAGGGTTGTATTTGTACCCAACTCTGACTTAGTCAATTCATTCCTGTTCAGTTAGTTTCACACAAACCTTTTTTTTCACAACTGTACTGGGAAGAAACAAGTACTTATTTCGAGAAAAGCAAAGGTGCAACGCACGGTGGAATGAAGTACAGTGGAATCTGGTGGGGAAAAAAAAAAAAAAAAAAGCTTCACCCAACAATCGCGCGTGCAGCAAAACGTTCAAATGCGACAAACTACCCAATCAGCAGCAGCCTTCGCGCAAATTCGAGAATCGAGTCGAATCCCGCGAAAGCACAAGTTGCAGCGACCGTGCAGCACGCGACAAGCGACGCGCCTGTCACATGCTGTAATGACCAAAAGCCGAGGTACCTTCTATCTGCCCGTAGAGTTGTTTATTTCTCTACAGTGTTGTCATATCGCGCTTCCCCAGAAACAGCGACACAATTTTCCAAACATTCTCCTTAACCGAAGGATACTAGAACAGTTGCAAAAAATCTTGGAACAAAAATAATGCAAGTGACACGTCACCCTTGTGCAAGTGTACAGTCCCACACATGTCGTTGCTGGCAGCCAGTTGTACATCCGCCGCACTGAAAACCGAAAACCGGTCCCATAGTGACAGCATTTCCCACTTGTCAAACACCTGCGCTTTGCTGTTCCTCTTCCCCAGAATAGGACGAGAAGAATGCAATGCGTGAGTGTCAGATGCAGTTGAACACTAACTTTCATACAACCTGGTTGCTTAAAACTATTACATTACAGAATCTCATGCAAATAGATGTCAAAAATGGCAACGAGATATTTGGCTTTGTCAATTTTGATGTTTTGTGTTTTATATGTATGAAACCCCTATAATGATGTTAAAAATACCTTAACACATCTTATTGAGGATTGAAACACTCTACTTGGCCTTTTTTTTCCCCCAAATGCACGAAAAATGGCTTGTAGCCACCATATTTGTGTGTAAAACCAATTGAGATATGGTTTTCCAGCCTCCCCTAGGCCTACTCAACCAAATGGATAGAAAATAAAATCATTAGACTACTTAAAAAAAAAAACTTGAAACTTCATCATGTAACATCCATGTCTCTACTCAAACGGTTTTACCTCATTTGATGATCATTACAGCGTCAGTCATAATGGTGTCATTAGAATGACACCTAAATGGGTTCAGACCCTTCTCATGTCATTATTAACTCAGTGGTATGGTATAGAGAAACATTGGAAAATAAAAAAACTACGCAACGTCGAAACGACATCGTTTGCCGCCATGCGACAGATATAGAGTTAGGTTGACAAAGTGACGAAAATTTGTGACAAACCCTTTTGATATCATTTGTGACAAAGTGACGCAATTAGCCCTTGCAAAACAAAGAAACACAGCGTCAAAATGGCATGGTGAGCTGGTATCTTCTGCAATTAGGTGTTGGTATATTTTTTTGTAACGAATTTAACGCCTCATTGATCACAACAAACAACTGCTCTTGTTACACATGTAATTCAAACTAATGGAATAGTTGGGTGCCAAATATTACCTAAATATGCATGTCTAAATATTCAAGGCTGTTTACAACTCAAAGGCAGATTACACAAACAATTTCCATCAATTAATTTCTTCTAAAACTGTAACGGAGAAGATCTTCAGCGGATCAAGCCCACTCAGTGTGCCAAGCCCTCGCTACCAGCTGCTTCCTGGAAGTACATCGAAACCCTCCCATTCTTACAGGGCAGTAAGTTTGAATCGAACGACCAATAGCAATCGCTCGAATGGTTTTGCAGAAGTTTCCTAGAAGAATTCAAAATGGTTCGACCAATAATATCGCTCGCGAGGGTGGTGTCGAAATTTCTGTAATGCTGCACCCCTCTGATTCCCGAGTCGCGGTACCATTAAAGCAACCTGCACGTAGGTTCAGGCAAGTTACTCTCTCGCAAACCCTGAAAAACATGCCACCCCGACCTCACACATTTTGGGATGCAGAAGAGCCTTCACCAAATACACCTGCCCCACTTCCGCCCACGCTCCCCCAATATCCACCACCTCCAGGGGGCCGTGTGAGCCGCCGCCCGTAACGCTTCCGCCAAAAGCACGCTTTTCCCCCGTTCCCGCACTTAGCGAGCGCGGCGTAAAGTAGCCGTTACCGCCGCCGCCTCCGCCGCTGCATCCGTCGCTGTCGCTATCAACACTCATGCTTCTGATGCTACTAGCGGTACTAGGAGCACCGTCGATTTCGTCGATTTCGAAGCAGGGGCAGGTTTGCGGGAGGAAGCCGACGTTCCATGGAAGGTTGTGATTATAATGAGAGGGGAGATCGTTCACACCGCGGATTCGCAGCGGATGATGCGGAGGCTCCGCTACCGCCAGCTCCACCTGCGCCCACGTGCCGCGCGGAACGGCGCAAACCATGCGGAAAAAATCGCCGCCGTCATCCGCGGGTGGAGCGGAAGCAGCGGAGGGGGCGGCGCAGGAGCTATTCAAAACCGCGGAGCCGCCTGCGTCCGCTGCTGCGCGAAGCGCGGGGAAGAGAGTAACTCTTGCTGAATTCAATATACTTTTGTCTATTCTCGGCGTTTTACCATCTTGACTTCTATCGAACCCTCTTTGCGCCGTCGTCAAAGTGGCGGCATTGGCAGCATCGGCGGCGGCAGCGGCGGCGGCGGAGGAGGAGAGGCGCAGAGGGACCTGGTGCCATGGGGAAAGGGGGACGACGACGAGGTCTTGCGCCGCTGCTGCTGCCGCCGGTGGCGGCGATGGCCGCGGCGAAAGCGGAGAAGCGAACCTCCCGAACTTCGACTTCGAACTACCCTTGGGAGTCTGCGGTGCGGCAAATGGCGGCGCTGCGGAAGCGCTGTTACCCGGCGACGGGTTTGGCGGCGGGACAGCGAGTCGCGCCCCGTTCAGGAGGAATTTTCGGTATAAGAGCGACCCGGAAGGGCCAATCTCGACCGCAGCATACTCCATGGCTCAGTCGGACCGCTAGAATGCCTGGCAGTCGACCCAATGCGTTAGTGGGCCCGCTTAATAACTTGCCAGTCGACCCAGTGGGTCAGTGAAACCGCTTAGATTCTTCGTGGTCGTGTTTCAAGGCGAGATTTAAAAACACTTAGCTGTTTCCGGTCGTCTATTTCTTAACGAGGCCCCTATACAGCGTACTGCGTGACGACTCTGTCATAATGGGAAGGACTTGGCTGCTTAATCACAAGTTTTAATCGTCTCGGAATTCGATTGCACATCTAGCCAAAAAACGTGTCAGCCGTAGTCAACAGACGAAAACGGCCCGCTGCAATTGAGCTGGTCTGGGCGTTTGACAAATGCGGCTCAGGTTAGCTCAAGTTAGCTTAGTTTGCATACCTAGATGCTTCAATGCTACTCAGTAATCTTAGGGCGTATCCCCGGTTCCGTTCACTTGCACTGTTTGGGGCGTCCGCGAATTGCGCATGCCCCAAACAACATAGAACACCACTTTGGGGTCAACATCATTGTGCGACCCGCAGTAAGGCGGGGGGGTGTCCCCGCCAAAATTTCACGGCCCCACGACTGTCGCATCCAATTGGGTCGTGCCATCACATCACACACGTACTCAACCACCGGCCGAGGCGACAATCACCCCACCCACCTCGCCGTCAACATTCCCGGCGGGAAAAGTCACATTCAGATCTGCGCGGCTCCCCAACCCACCAGAACCACCCTCATCTGCTGCAAATTTCCCTCTGATGGTTTAGTCATCAGCGTCCTCACAAAGAAGAACATCAGCGAGATCTAAAACACAGTGGGTCCTCCTACTAGGTAGCACTCACACCCTAGCACACCGGCACCGCCGAGCCATGCCTCCACGACGAAGCGCCCGCAGCAAGGGGAAGGAGAAAACCCTCGACGATGAGCCGATGATTGATCCACCGTACGTAGCATGGATGAAGGAACAGAAAAAGCAGGGGAAGCCGTCCCCTTCCATCAAGCGAATAGCAAAGGCTAAACGCGATTCTGCTGGCGCCTCCAATAGCGGCAGTTCGCGGCGCGAATACGATCATGGCGCCGACACGGACGTCAGCGACGACGATCTCGAGGAGATCATATCCGAATCCGACAGCGATGCAGACTCTGACAACTACAAGGAGTGCAGTGACGACGACGCCGAAGAAACGGACGGAGGCGAGGAGGGTAGCGGCGACGACGGCAGCAACCGTGCACCGAGGAAGGAGAGACGCACGCCTGCAGCGCCAAACAGGCGGCAGTGGTCCGACGCTGAGCTCACGGCACTCGCGGCCGCCCGTTGGAACACCAAGGATGATGTGATCGCGATGCAAGGCAAGCAGGGGAGTCAGTATTGGAAGAAGCTGCGTGCGCACATAGTCGAGGGGGACCCTGACTGGAACCGCGATGAGGGGCAGATGTCGAACGCCTGGAAGCGCCTGGAGAAGAAGTACCTGAAAACGAAACGTGGAGAGGGGCAGAGCGGCGGGAAAGCCATCAAGAAAAAGGCGTGGTGGGAATACATGTACAACCTTAAAAAACATTCGGCCAAGGCCAAGCCACACGCCCTTGACGGAGGTGGCGCCGCTAACGTCGACGTCCCTGCATACGCCGCTGTGCCAGGCACCAACGATCGTGAGACCAACAGCCCATCATCCCTGGTACTCCAGCGTGGTTCTCGGCGTCGTGCTCCAAAACCAGGTTAGAACACCCTTGTATCAAGCACCTCTGCTATTCCTGTTTGGCTATCAAAGCGCATGTATTCATATTGAATTTAATAACACACATAACATCACGGCCGCCTTATTACCATCTATGCCTACGCCCACCCCTACAGACACTGGTGTCACAACGCCGACCAAACGAAGAAGAGTAGAAGAAACAGCGACTATGGCGGCAGCCAGGCTGGTGAGCGAAGCCATAAACGCTACCAACGCGCACGTGGTGCGCCAGCTGCAAGACTCCACTCAGTTGCTTGTCGCGGCTATGAACATGGCAGCGACTCAAGCTGGCGTGCGGCTGCAAATGGCCAGTCCGGTGGTACAGCATGTGGCCCCCGAGCCCACGGCGCCTCCAGCACCGCTAGATGTGACTTTGGACGCCAACATGTCGGGGTCTGAGGAGGCAGCACAGCAGCATGAGCATTAGCGCGCCGAGCTCGACGCACGGTGACGCCTAAGGTAAGCCCTGTGGATGTGCTTGCCGAAGTGGTGTCGGCGTCGACGCAAATCTGCGAGCGTTGGGTTGTCCAGGGGCTGCCACTGATAGCGATCCATGCCGCTCTTGGTCCACCAGCCGTTCGGGAGCCCTGCCCATACATAGCGGCGGGGGTTGTGTGTTTTCATCCTTGGAGTACTAACGGTCTGCAGCATGTTGTGCAGGATGATGATGCTGGCCGTTCCTGCACACACGCGCCACAGCTTGCTCTCGTGCCTGCGCGAGAAGAGTCTCCAGCGACCCTTCAGTGCGCCGATCGTGCGCTCAACAACCATCCGTGTCGCCGACTGGACGTAGTTGTACGTCTGCTCCCACTTCTTCATAAGGCGACGGCGTGGTGCGTGCAGGGGAGTGAGCATGTACGACTTCAAAGGGTATGCCGCATCTCCCACAAGGTGGTAGGGGGCGATTTCCCCACTCTCTAGCCTGCCATGTAGGTCTGATGTGGAGAAACAACCTTGATCATGCATAGAGCCCGGATTGCCTACCGTGTAGTCCCATATCACTCCCTTGGAGTCACAAGTAATCTGGAGTTGAACACTGTAATTTGACTTCCTATTGTAATAGTCCCCTCGGTGACCTTCCATGCCGCGTATATCAACATGGGTCCCATCAATCGCCCCGATTACGTTGGGCACACCTTTGATGGCCTTGAAGTCCAGCGCCATCTCTTCGCGCAGCTCGACAGGAGGGAATTGCACCCAATCACGCTTGAACTTGCGCGGGAACCAGATCAGGAAGGCATCCACGAGGCGGTGGATGAGAGTGCTTGGGAGCCCAAACATGAGAGCCATGTCGTGGTAGGTCATGGCGGTTGCAAAATACTTTATGGGGATTAGACAGCATAAACACAGTGGGACTTCGTTCACTTCCACAAAGCGAGACATTGGGTGTGCCATTTTGTCGGCGATGAGGTCAAGTACTTCCCGAGTGATGCGGAAAGTGTCTTCGAACTCCTCGTCGAACATGGCGCGTATCTCCTCCACCCAATATGCGACCCGTTCCTGACGGCGCCGTTTCCGACGTTCGAGGCGGGCGGTTGCTCGGCGCACGCGCTCCTGGTCCTCTGCCTGCGACATTGGTAGGATTGTAGTAATCCACTCTATAGCAGCTAAAGACACTACACGATGCCAGGTGTTGAGAAGGTATTCATGCCATAGATGTAAGGCCACACAGAGTATGATCACGGGCGCGGTGATCATGGTTTATGGCCACCTGCTAGGTGACGAGTGAGCTGCTCGCATTCGAATAAGATCATGGGACACGAGCATTACGGGGCCGCGTCTATGCTGAGACCGTATTTGCAGCCAGGCACTTTGCCGTGGAGCTGCCTGTGCTTGTATACGGCCTATTAGGTTCGTTGCGGCGTGCTACCTGGGGTCGTCTCGTGAAACACATCACCCTCTAGTCAAAAGTTGGTTTTATGGTGGGATGCCAACTTCAGTGGTGTAGGTGAGACATTGACGGGCGTGAGTACACTGAACATGTCCGTCTACCGAATGTCTCACAAATTGGGGTCGCACGACACTGTGATTGGTGGGGGTTACAGGTTGGATGACGGTCGCATGAAGTTTCAGGGATGACCCGAACATCGAACCGCGCGCGCCTCCACCAACTACTTTGGGTCATCCGCGCATTGCGGATGACCCAAACAGTTGAATGAACAGTGCAAGTGAACGGAACCAGGGATACGCCCTTAGCAGCCGCTTCCATCACCAGCTAAAACAAAGCCTGAGAGTGGAGCGGAAGGCTATGCACGTAAGCAATATCGCAAGAATGAATGCACCAGCATGAAAAAGCGAGTGTGTTTCGCTCGTTTGAATGCGGCTCAATGAGATGTTTCACGTTGTAAAACTTGCGAATCAATGTTGAGTGGTCGATGGGTGTATTGAGCCGCCCGTGATGCTCGTCGTGTCGTGAGTAGTGAAAGCGGAAAGATATAGACAATGTTAGGGCGCGGGTTTTGGGCGAACTTGCACGCGTTTCAGTGTTTTCGAACATGAACATGCAAAAACACAGAATATCGGCACCCTTTGTCAGGTGCACCAAGACTGGTTTTTTGGGGAACCCGAACTCCTACCAACCGTGCGACCGAAATGAGGTCGCACGTAAACTGTAGACGCCGCATAGCCAATCATATGGCTTCGTCTAGGCATCGTAACTATTCTGTTACCGTCGCTAGTGTTTCGTTTTTTTCGCAACTGGAGTTTACCTTTTGGGGTGGTGCACTTCCCTGTCAAGATCGAGCATTTGACGGGGAATTCCGCAGTATCGTTTGCCCGCGTTTGGGGTGCTGTGGCGTTCAAGTTCGCATGCAAAACACGAGCGTGGTGCACTTCTCGAGCAGTAACACTGTTCAGTCAAGACAAAACTCAGTTGAGTAAACGCCAAACGCAGAGTAACCCGAACTTCACCAAAATTTCGGATTTGGATCGATCTTCTTCAGCATTTTCGATTAAGTGCAGCACGCCCTTACAGCGAAGTCGACGGATAGAGGGCGTGTGCGTGTGGGGGGTGATAAGGGACCACGGTTGAATAAAACCAAACGTCGCCATTGCACCAAAACCGTGTTGGAGAATCGAGTCTTTGCCGCCCCAGCCCTTTGCACACAAGGAGCAGCAAGAATGTCGGCGACGGATTGAAGGCTTCGCGAAAATTCAGAAACTTCCGCAGCAAATCAGATTGCAGCCGAAGACTCGATACAGTTCGGGATTGCTCTCAAACAGAAGGGTCGACAGTTTCTACAGGTTTCTACAAAACAGAATCAGCTATAACAGTACATTCCAGAGATTTCTTATTCATGCACCTCATGTGGCTCTCAAGTCACTCAAGGTTCATGGAATCTGAATTGTGCCCAAGTTCCCAAGGAAGTTGCCTTGTCTAGCAGCCTAGTTTGAGCTATCAATCTGCATGTTTGTAATGCTTAAGAAGTTGTGCTTTAGTGGGCTTGTTAATCTTGATCATAGTGAAGTTTTCTCTCATCAAGCCAAGTCCAGCAGCTCTGTTGAGCTTTTCCAGCCAAGTTTCCAGCCCACCAGTCATCAAAGCTACTCTGTTTTGCAAGTAACCGCTAGGTGCGAGTCGCCTCTTGACCGTTCTATAATCAGTTAAAACGTACTGAACCGAGCTAGTGATACGGCTGAAGAACATGGTGTGAAACGATTTTCCGTATCACGAATACAGTTTGTACTTCTGTTTTGGATTCCGACGCAATTACTGTGTACTCACCCGATTCTCTTTACGTGCTCCCGATTCTCACCAACATCAACTCTTGAAATCTGGTGCGATTTCTAGTCAGGAAGGCACAGCGCAGCTGCAAATTGTTTCATTGCACAGAACCTCTGTGCCAGCAACAGACAAGCTTGGCAAGCAAGGAAGCATCAGACTGGAAAAGCAAGCGCAAATGTTTTGATAGCCTCTCTGTACACTTAACTATTACCCATTTCTACACAATGGGGAACGCACCAAAGTTCACGTTCTGGTCATAACACAACAGAGCACAAAAAGAGGGATAAAAGTAACAACCCATACTCTATATAGAGCAACTCAACCTAGACTACGAAGTACCTATACATATGTGTGTGTGTGTGTGTGTGTGTGTGTGTGTGTGTGTGTGTGTGTGTGTGTGTGTGTGTGTGTGTGTGTGTGTGTGCGCGCGCGTGTGTGTGTGTGTATGTGTGTGTGTGTGTGTATGTGTGTGTGTGTGTGTGTGTGTATGTGTGTGTGTGTACTATAGCAATACAATCTACAATTTAGCACTGCCAAAAAAACAGTAATAATTAAGATTAGGTAACCTCCAGGCAATGATATTACTTCTTGTAGAACGGCGCCGCGTGACATTGTAACAAGATGACTTTTGAGTCGAGTCAAAGGTCCTCATGCATTCACCACGATTAATATCCCGTGTGGAACGCCCTCGAGTGCTCCGGGGCGACTCCGAGTAGTCTAAGTCATATTAAAACCTGCTGCTGCTACGCCTGCTGCTGCCTCCTGCTCCTGCTGCCTTCCCTTCCTTGGGAGTCGCCCCCCAGCCGGCATACTCAGGATTGTCCTCGGGGTCATCATGCACCCACGATGCCTGCACGCTCTCCAGGTTCGGCCGGGCCATTCTCGCCCGCCTTCTCACTCCCGATGGCAGCCCTCCGGGACCCAGCCCCGTCTGATTTCCTCCTCCTATTCTCCGCTGCCCCTGCTCCCCCAGCTGCTGCTGCTGCTGCTGCTCTCCCAATCGGCCAAGACTCGCAGGAATCTGCGGGCGAGGGCTGCTATCATCATCAGATGCAGCAGGAGTGTGAGCAGCCGAACCTGCAGGAGTGTGAGCGGCCGAACCTGCATGCGTGTGAATAGCCGAACCTGCAGGAGTGTGAGCACCCGAACCTACCGGGCTAGGTCCGGGAGAGAGCCACGCGCCGAGCCCAGAGGAATTCAGCAGGTGAGACACTGCTGAGAAGGTTCTGGGAAGGTAGGCGGGGGCTGCCTCTGCTGATGAAGCAGTAACTGCTGATGCTGCTTCTGCTGTTGCTGTGGCCGTTGCAGCAGCAGCAACACCGTTTGCACTGGCATCAGCAGCAGAGGCAGCAGAACTACCAGCAGCATTACCAGCAGCATTATCAGCAGCATTAGCATTAGCAGCAGAAGCAGCTGCAGATGCAGCAGCATGAGCTTGAGCCGCGCGTTTCCAGCGCATGGCTGCGTTGTGCCTCGCCATTGCCTTTGCCGCAGCCTCTCGAGGAGACTTGGGGACTTCTGTGTCCCCTCCTGCTGCCGCCCCTCCCCTTGCTGCTTCTCCTGCTGCAGCGGCACAAGCAGATGCAGCGGACTGAGCTTGAGCCATTGCCCTTGCAGTAGCCTCTCGCGGAGACTTGGGTACATCTGTGTCCCCTCCTGCTGCTCGCATCCCCGCGTTGAATCTCGCCATTGCCTTAGCAGCAGCCTCTCTCTGTCCGCCTGCCTTCACAGGCACCCGTCGAGGAGACTTGGAGACTTCTGTGTCCCCTCCTGCAGCAGGGGCATAAGCAGACGCAGCGTCCTGAGCTTGAGTCATTGCCGTTGCTGCGGCCTTTTTCAGTCCGCCTGCCCTCACAGGCGCCCGTCGAGGAGACTTGGGGACCCCTGCGTCCCCTCCTGCTGCCCCCCCTGCCCTTGCTGCTTCTCCTGTTGCTCCCTCTGCTGCTCCCCCTGCTGCTCCCCCTGCTTCTCCCCCTGCTGCTCCCTCTGCTGCTCCCCCTGCTGCTCCCCCTGCTTCTCCCCCTGCTTCTCCCCCTGCTGCTCCCCCTGCTGCTCCCCCTGCTGCTCCCCCCGCTTCTCCCCCTGCTGCTCCCTCTGCTGCTACTTTTCTAATGGCTCCCACTCCTCCCACTACCGTCATGGCTTTGATGCTTTGACTTGCGGCGTTACAGCTTTGATACGTCTCAAAACTGGCTTTGATGGTTGGACTTGCGGCGCTGAAGCTTTTACTGAGGAGACTAGGCACCCCTCGAGGAGACTTGGGAACCCCTGTGTCCCCTTCTGCTGCCCCCCCTCCCCTTGGTGGTTTCCCTGCTGCTTCCCCTGCTGCTCCCGCTCCTGCTCCCCCTGCTGCTCTCCCTGCTGCTCCCTCTGCTGCTCCCCCTGCTGCTCCCTCTGCTGTTCCCCCTACTGCCCCCCCTGCTGCAGCTTTTTTAATGGCCCCCCCTCCTCCCACTACAGTCATGGCTTTGAAGCTTGGACTTGCCGCGCCGAAGCTTTGATAAGTCTCATAACTGGCTTTGATGGTTGGACTTGCCGCACTGAAGCTTTTGTTGAGCAAACTAGGCATCCCTCGAGGAGACTTGGGAACCCCTGTGCCCCCTCCTGCTGCCCCCCCTCCCCTTGGTGGTTTCCCTGCTGCTTCCCCTGCTGCTCCCCCTGCTGCTCCCTCTGCTGTTCCCCCTACTGCCCCCCCTGCTGCAGCTTTTTTAATGCCCCCCCCCCCTCCCACTACAGTCATGGCTTTGAAGCTTGGACTTGCCGTGCTGAAGCTTTGATAAGTCTCATAACTGGCCTTAATAGTTGGACTTGCGGCGCTGAAGCTTTTGCTGAGGAGGCCTGGAGTTGGGGGGGTCCAAGTTATGCTGTCCCTCCTGCTCGTCCCTCGAGGCGACTTGGGAACCCCTGTGTCCCCTCCTGCTGCTCCTCCTCCGCCTCTTTCTGCTTCTTGAGTTGGGGGGGTCCAAGTTACGCTGTCCCTCCTCCCCCCTCCTCTTGGCGACTTGGGGGCCCCTGTTTCCCCTCCTCCTCCCCATCCTCCTCCCCCTCCTCCTCCCCATCCTCCTCCCCCTCCTCCTCCCCCTCCTCCTTCACCTCCTGCTGAAATTGCAATGCTTGTTTTTCCATAGTTGAAGCTTTTGCTACGAAGGCCGTGAGTGGGGGGGGTTGAGGTTACAACGTCCCTCCTCTCTCCCCCTCTTGGCGACTTGGGGGGCCCTGTTTCCCCGCCTCCTCCTCCGCCTCCTCCTCCTCCTCCGCCTCCTCCTCCCCCTCCCCCTCCCCCTCCCCCTCCCCCTCCCCCTCCCCCTCCCCCTCCTCCCCCTCTTGGCGACTTGGGGGGCTTTTGAGTCGACTCAAAGGCCGACTTGGGGGGCCCTGTTTCCCCCCCGCCTCCCCCTCCGCCTCCCCCTCCTCCTTCCTCTCCTGCTGAAAATACAATGCCTGTTTTTCCGTAGTTGAAGCTTTTGCTGCGAAGGCCGTGAGCGAGGGCGGTCCAAGCTGCGTTGTCCCTGCTGCCCACCCCTCGAGGCGACTTGGGTACGTCTGTGTCTCCTCCAGTTGCCTCCCCTCCTTGAGCGAGGGTCCAACCTGCGTTGTCCCTGCTGCCCACCCCACGAGGTGACTTGAGTACCCCTGTGTTTCCTCCTGCTGCCCCTCCTCCTCGTGCTGCTCCCCCTGCCCCCCCCTCTCCTCCTCTACGGCTAGGGGCTGAGATGCTTGGAGATTTAAAAAGGGTGCTCAGAATGTCGTCACTGGGGGGAGTAAAAGGCATGATGCCTTTCCTGCCCACGCCTCGTGGTGACTTGGGAACGCCTGTGTCTCCTCCTGCTGCCCCTCCTTCTCTTGCTGCTTCCCCTGCCCCTCCTTTTGCTGCTTCTCCTGCCCCCCCTCCTCCTCCTCTAGGGCTAGGGGCTGAGATGCTTGGAGATTTAAAGAGGGTGCTCAGAATGTCGTCACTGGGGGGAGTAAAAGGCATGATGCCTTTCCTGCCCACGCCTCGAGGGGACTTGGGAACCCCTGTGTCTCCTCCTGCTGCCCCCCCTCCTGCCATTTCCATTGCTGCTGCCCCCCCTCCTGCCATTTCCCTTGCTGCTGCCCCCCCTCCTGCCATTTCCCTTGCTGCTGCTCCCCCTCCTGCCATTTCCCTTGCTGCTGCTCCCCCTCCTGCCATTTCCCTTGCTGCTGCTCCCCCTCCTGCCATTTCCCTTGCTGCTGCTCCCCCTCCTGCCATTTCCCTTGCTGCTGCTCCCCCTCCTGCCATTTCCCTTGCTGCTGCTCCCCCTCCTGCCATTTCCTCTCCTGCACTTTCCCTCTTGACACCAATGGGGGTTTCTTTAATGATGGGGGATTTTTTAATGGTGGGGGATTTTTTAGTGGTGGGGGATTTTTTAGTGGTGGGGGATTTTTTAATGGTGGGGGATTTTTTAATGGTGGGGGATTTTTTAATGGTGGGGGATTTTTTAGTGGTGGGGGATTTTTTAATGGTGGGGGATTTTTTAGTGGCACTCTTGCTCCCACTCTTGCTCGCACTCTTGCTCACACTCTGGCTCATATCCTTGCTCACACTCTGGCTCATATCCTTGCTCGCACTCTTGCTCATATCCTTGCTCACACTCTGGCTCACATCCTTACTCAAGCTATCTCCTCCCGAAGCCCTTTCCAAACTCCAAACAGCGCCCATATCCATGCTCACACCTCTCCTCCTCCCACCAACGCCTGTGCCAACCCCACCAACGCCTGTGCCAACCCCACCAACGCCTGTGCCTCTGCTGCTGCTGCCTCCGCCACCTACTGCCACTCGCCTCATCTCTTCTATCCATGCCATCTCTCCATCACCCTCTCCTCCCTTCCTTCCCTTCCCTTCATGCCCTCTCCCTTTCCCCTCCTTCTCCCGTGAACCTCCATCTCCTCCCCTCCCTCCCCCATCCATATTTTTCTCTCCTTCTCCTCCTTTCACCCCAGAAGAATCAAACGTCACTGCCGGTGACGTCAGTAACCCTCCCTCTTCTCCTCCTTCCCCTCCTCTCCCTCCCCTCCTCCCACCTCCATTTGCCTCTCTCTCTCCTCCTCTTCCCTTCGCCCTGGTCCCAAGCGACACTACTCTAGGTGACAAACTCCCTCCCTCCCCTCCCTCCCCTCTCCCCCCCCCATTCCTCCTCTCCCACACACTCAAGCTCTCCTCTCTATGCCCCGTGCTCACTATCCCCCCTCCTCTCCCTCCCTCCCTCCCGTCCCCTACATCCCACTCACATAAGCTCTCCACTCTACCCACTATCCCCATTCCTCTCCCTCCTCTCCCTCCCTCCCTCCCGTCTTCTATTTCCCACACACTCAAGCCCTCCTCTCTACGCCCTCTGCTCGCTATATCCCCTCCTCTCCCTTCCTCCCTCCCGTCCCCCATATCCCACTCAGTCAAACTCTCTACTCTGCTCGCTATCCCCGCTCCTCTCCCTCCCTCCCTGCCGTTCCCCATATCCCACCGACCCAAGTCAGACTCAAAAACAGACGTTTGAGGCGCCGCAATAGCCATATCCCACTGACCCAAGTCAGACTCAAAGCCAGAAAACGACAGGCATTGCCTGTGTCCTGGCCTAACAGTACTCCTCCCACCTGAATTTTCACCTGCTGAAATCCCATCACCTGAAACCCTACCACCACCACCACGACTAACAGCAGCAGCAACAGCAGCAGCAGCAACAGCAGCAGCAGCGGCAGCAGCCGTATGAGCAGTATGAGTGGCTACTAAAACCTCGGTGTTTCCCCTTGGGGTGGCAAGCCGTGCTTGTTGGACCCATGCTCCCACGTCTCGACCCACGCCCTTTTGCTGTACTGCCCTGTTTCGCCCCAAGTTCTCCCCACCACCAGTCTTCCCTCCCACGTCTCGTCCCGTGCCCTTTTGCTCTACTGCCCCTTCATACCCATCCTTGGGCCCCCCACCCGTCCTCCTCCTCTCTTCCTGTCCAGGTGCGTAGAACCTGGCCTCTTTGTGTTGCACCTTGGGCATCCTCTGTCCAGGTACAATGAACCTGGACTCTTGTGGCTGTGCCTCGAAACCCGTCTGTCCAGGTGAAAACAAGCCAAAGTCAAAGCTGGAAAACGACTGGCACTTCCTGTGCTTGGGGCTAGAAGAGGCAGCAACAGCAGAAGCAGCAGCAGCAGCAGCAGCGGCGGCGGCGGCAGCGGCGGCAGTAGGAGAAGCAGCAGCCACAGAACCCCCAGTGTTTGCCTTCGGGATGGCACGCCGTGCTTTGCCGGCCCCCACTCCCTCTTCTCGTCCCGCCCCCTTTTGCTGCACTGCCCTGTTCCGCCCTGAATTCTCCCCGCCGCCAGTCTTCCCTCCTGCTTCCTGCCCAGGTGCAATCAAGCCAAAGTCAACGCCGGAAAACGACTGGCACTTCCTGTGCCTGAGGCTACTAGCAGCCGCCCCACCTGAATTATCACCTGCTACATTCCCCCCACCTGACTTTTGAGTCGGCTCAAGATTCAACTCCTGAGTCGAATCAAAAAACGACTGGCACTTCCTGTGCCTGAGGCTACCAGCGACCCCCCCACCTGAACTTTTACCTGCTAAACTCCCACCACCTGAAGCCCGAGCAGCAGCAGCAGCGGCGGCGGCGGCAGCAGCAGCAGCAGCAACAGAACCCCCTGTGCTTGCCTTTGGGATGGCACGCCGAGCTTTGTCGGCCTGCACTCCCTCCCCCTTTTGCTGTACTGCCCCCTTTTGCCCCGAATTCCCCCCACCATCAGTCCTCCCTCCCGCTTCCTGCCCAGGTGCATTGAACCTGGACTCTTTCGGCCGATCCTCAAGAAGCGTCTGTCCAAAGTCAAAGCCAGAAAACGATTTGCACTGTCTGTGCATTGGCTTCCCACCGGTCCCACCACCTGAAGGCTCACCTGCTGAAACCCCACCATGTGAAAAACCACCTGAAAAACCACCTGAGACACCAGCAGCAGAAGCTCCAGAAGCCCCAGTTTTTCCCCTTCGGATGGGAAACCCTACACCCATCTCTGGCCCCTCTGCTCCGCCTCCCTTTTTGCCCCTCTTCTTCTGTCCAGGTGCGTTGAACCTGGACACTTTAGGGGAGCGAGGTGGTGGGGACATGGAGACAGGGTAGCCAGAGGGGGATGATGATGAGGAGGGGGACAGCGCCATAGGACTAGGGGCTGCAGTAAACTCCTCGTCTTCCTCCTCTTCCTCCACCTCTTCCTCCTCCTCCTCCTCCTCCTCCTCCTCCTCCTCCTCCTCCTCCTCCTCCTCCTCCTCCTCCTCCTCCTCCTCCTCCTCCTCCTCCTCCTCCTCCTCCTCTTCGTTCTTCCTCCGACTAAGCACAGGAGAGCGGGAAAGGGCCACAGTAGTTGCTACAGGCGAGGTCATTGGAGTCAACTCATCCCCATCAGCATATTCCTCATCCTCCTCACCCTCATCCTCCTCCCCATCCTCCTCCTCATCCTCCCCTTCCTCCTCCTTCTCCCCATCCTCCTCCCCATCCTCTTCCTCCTCCTCCTCCTCCTCCTCCTCCTCCTCCTCCTCCTCCTCCTCCTCCTCCTCCTCCTCCTCCTCCTCCTCCTCCTCCTCCTCCTCCTCATCCTCCTCCCCATCCTCTTCCTCCTCCTCCTCATCCTCCTCTCTCCCCTCCTCTCTCCCCTCCTCTCTTCCCCCCTCTCTTCCCTCCTCTCTCCCCTCCTCTCTTCCATTCTTTCTCCCGGCACTGAACCAGTTCGAATCCGGACTCACCAACTCCATTTCACTCCCTTCCTCCTCACCCCTTTCATCCTCGATAGAAAGCTCTTCAATGTCACCACAAGCATCTCCCATAAAACTTTTCAAAACAACAGCATCAGAGTAACTTGTGGGTATCTCTAAACCCAAACTCATCCCAACGCCTACGCCCCTCCCGGCCCCACGCCCACTCACACCCAGCTCTTGCCCACCCATACTTGTCGTACGAAACATCTCAGAACCCCTCCCCCTCTCACTCGCCCCTACCGCTTGCCCACCCATGCTCGTTGTACGAGGCATCTTAGGGACCTTCGCACTGACATCCATTCCCACCTCTGACGACTTTTGAGGTGCCTCAAAAGGTGCCTCAAAAGGTGCCTCATAAGGTGCCTCAAAAGGTGCCTCAAAAGCCCTCCCAGTCCCCCTCACGCCCAGCTTTTGTCCACCCATGCTTGTCTTACGAGCCATCTTAACAGCCATCGCACCCCCATCCAACACCACCTCAGAACCCACCGCACTCCCATCGAAACTCAGCCTTTGACTGCCCTTCCTTGCGGTTTGAAACAGGGTCTCGCGATTGTTTTGAGACGTCTCAAAACACTCCTTCTTAAACAGGGTCTCGCGATTGCTGCTGCTGCTGCCCTTCTTGCTGTTAATAAAACTGCTGCTGCTGCTGCTGCCAAAGTTGCTGGTGGCGTTATTGCTGCTGCTGCTGGAATTGCTGATGCCGCTGGTGCTGCTGCGTGTGCCGCCAGTGCTGCTGCGTACGGGGGTGGTGATTAAGGGAGGGTTGCTTGGCTGACTCCCGGTGGTGTGTCGTCTGTTTGGCTCTGGTATCATGGCAGCATCCTCATCTTCAGCAGCAGCACCAGCAACAGCAGCAGCACCACCAGCTGCAGCACCAGCAGCAGCACCAGCAGCAGTAGCTGCTGCAGCAGCAGGAGGAGGAGGAAGAGCGGCAGAAAGGGGGGAAGAGCCAATGGTAAAAATGGAAGGAGCAAGAGCAGGCAACGAGCGGCTGGGATGCAACGTTGACTTTGCAGTTTCAGATGGACGGTCAGATGCCTGTTGCCAGTCGCGCTGCGAGCAATCCTGGTCGCTCTCCCCCCCTCCTCCCTCCCCACTCTCTCCCCTTCCTCCTGTACGCTCCTGTTCCAGATAGGACCTCCCATCAACAGTCATACTCCGAGCAGCCATGCCGATGCTTGCAGTGCCGCTATTGAGTGCGCTAATAACGGAGCTGCTGCTGTTGGCCTCGGCAGTGGGAGAGGATGGAGGGAAGGGGTGTTTTTGTCGAAAGCGAGGGGAACGGTGGAGAGCGTAGGGGCGAGGGGAGCCGGGAGGGGAGGCGCGAGGGGAGGCGAAAGGGGAGGTGAAGGGAGAGGAGAAGGGAGAGGAGAAGGGGGAGGAGAGGGGAGGGAAGCAGGAGACGTTAACTGAGGAAGAGGTAGGGAAGGTGGTAATTTTCTTGGGAAGTGAGCGTTTGGAGATGAGAGGCGATCGCTGCAAGACCTGGCCGTTGCTGCTGCTGCTGCTGCTGCTGCTGCTGCCATTGCCCTTAGCACCTAGCTGGTTCATAATCCCCTCATTGTTCTCCTCTCTCACTCTCTCCTCGTTCTCTCTCTCCTCGATCACTCCCCCCTCTCTTACTCTCTCTTCCGTGAATTTCTCTTCTCTATACTCCTCATACTCGCCATTGTCTACTTTATCATCACCATCACCATCACCATCACCATCAGCAACGGATTTGCCAGTCCGCTTTGTCCCCTTCTTTAACAGCTTCTTTAACATCCCTTTCTTTACCTTCTCCTCAACATTGGATTTACTCTTGACAATTTTTTCCCGTCTCGTCACCTTTTCGTCTCCCTCTCTCCTTCCACTCCTCCCACCTTGCCCGTCCTCCCCATTCTCCTCCCCAGCTTCATCCTTCCTCCTCTCCTTCCTCGTACTCCCTACCCTCCCCACCTTCTTCCTTTCTCCCTTCCCCTCCTTCTTTTCCCCTTTCCCCTCCTCCTTCTCTGCGCTGCCGCTGCTACGGATTTTGAAAGGAAACTTGCCTTTTCTCACCCCAGAACTATCTGAAACAAGCACCTTTCCCTTCCCCTTCCTCATCTCTTCTCCTCCCACATCCTCCTCTCCCTCCTCTTCCTTTCCTCTAAGTGTTTTACTTATCAGGCCCAAACCACTTTTGAATCTGGATTTACTCGGTTGTGGCGATCCGTACCTTCCGGAACGATCCAATCCGTTACAAGCAGATTCGGTACCGTTTTGTGGCGATCCTGACCCATCAAACGCCGTCTCTAGCCATACAGGGGAGGATGAGGATCGAGTGTGATCAACACGAGATGGTTTGCTTCCCTTAGCTTTTCCCTTCTTCCCTTCTCCTCCCTTCTTCCCTCCTCCCTTCTTCTCTCCTCCTCCTCCTCCTCCTCCTCCTCCTCCTCCTCCTCCTCCTCCTCCTCCTCCTCCTCCTCCTCCTCCTACTCCTCCCTCCTCACTCAAACCAGCAGCAGCCAATGCAGCAGCAGCAGCGCCAGGCATCAATGTCCCAGACGCTTTTCTAACAATCTCTTGTGCCCCGCGTGGCTCGGAAAGTGGGACGCAGACCACACTGCTGCCTGCCACGTGGCACTCCACAGAGCCGCCACGTGTGCAGTCCACCGATTCCCGCAGCTGGCTTAGAAGCATTTCATCTTGCTGGTTTTGGTCAGCTGACTGCTGCTGCTGCTGAGGTGGCATGAAAGCATACCCATGGGCGTCTTTCCAGGCGGCATGTGCGCCGTTGATCACGGAGATCGTACGGCTGAGAGGCACAGGTTTCTCCCGTAAGGAAATGGAGCAAGGGAGGTCCACTGGTTACAACAGGGAGCAGGAGGGGGAAGGGTCCGGAAATGAAAATTGGGGAAGGAGGGGGGGAGAGGAGGGGGTTGGAAAGGCCGGGTGTTTGGGGAAGGCAAAGGAGGGGGTTGGAATTGGGATTTGATTTGGATTTGATTGGGTTCTTGAGCGAGCATCGGTGTTGACAGGATAAAAAGGCACAATGATGAAGGAAAAAAGAGCAAAGGAGGTCGACTGGTGCTTGTGGAGAAATGATGAAGGGAAGGGAATGTTCACTAGACTTATAGCATTCGTATCTGAAAGACAACTGTAGCTATTTATAACTGCTACTCAAATCTGGTCAACTCACGCGGCGACAAGCATCCTCGAAACTTGAGCCACTCGCGAATCTCCTCCAGACGCGTCGCCATGCAATCGTCGCCATCGTCGGCATCATCGCTAACGTCGCTCGTTGCAATCACAGTCCAGTGCGTATGGAGGTTCGGGCTAACCACCAGAAACGCCAAAAGAGCCTTCACCAGATACACCTGCCCCACTTCCGCCCGCGCTCCCCCAATATCCACCACCTCCAGGGGACCGTGTTCGCCTCCGCCCGTAACGGTTCCGCTAAACGAGCGAAGCTTTTCCGCCGTTCCCGCCGCACTTAGCGAGCGCGGTGTGAAGAAGCCGCCGTCACCGTCGCTATCAGCACTGATAGTACTACTACTAGTAGCGTTACTTGTAGTACCGTCGAGTTGGTCTATCTCGAAGCAGCAGCAAGTTTGCGGGAGGAAGCCGACGTTCCACTGAAGGTTGTGATTATAATGAGAGGGGAGATCGTTCACTCCGCGCACGCGCAGCGGATGGTGCGGAGGCTCCGCCACCGCAAGCTCCACCTGCGCCCACGTGCCGCGCGGAACGGCGCAAACCATGCGGAAAAAATCGCCGCCGCCGGCGATACCCGCGAGGCCTGCAGCCGCTGTAGCGCTAAGCGCGGGGAAGAGTGTAACTCTGGCCGAATTCAGAATGCTCTTGTCGAAGCCCTCTAATCTACCACCGGACGCTATTTCGTATTGACTTCCATCAAGACCTCCCGTCGTCGCTGGGGAGGCGGAGGCAGAGGCGGAGAAACGCAGCGGGACTTGGTGCCATGGGGAAAGGGGGACGACGACGAGGTCTTGCGCCGCTGCCGCTGCCGGCGCCGGCGAAGGCCGCGGCGAAAGCGGAGACGTGAACCTTCCGCGCTTCGTCTTCGCCTTGGGAGTCTGCGGCGCGGCAAGTGGCGGTGTAACCGAAACGCTGTCACTAGGGTTTGGCGGCGCGACGGCGAGTCGCGCCGCGTCCAAGAGGAATTTTCTGTATAAGAGCGACCCAGGTGGACCGATCTCAACCGCAGCGTACTCCATGCGGTGGACTGCAAGTCGAACTAACGCGTCAATGTGACCGCTAGCTGCCAGCTTCTTGCTCGCCTGTTTCTGGTTCTGCTTCGACTAAAGGTCTGATCATCTATTCCTGAAGGGCATAGAGAGTGTACTCCATTGCCCAAAGTGACCTGACGTTAGCCGTTTTTAGTTGTCACGGAATCAGGTTTCAGAATTATGTCAAAATGTGTGAGAAGTGTCAAATCCAGGTGGTCCGAAGTCAACCGTTGCGTAATTCTCGACGAATGTGGGTCAGGTGAGTAAGCACACCTGGGTGCTCTCAGTTTTACTCAGTAATCGAAGAAAACGCTGCTAGTAACACCAGCTAAAACAGATCGAAGAGAGTGCAAGCGACAGGCTAATCACGTATTCGAATTCGCAAGAACATGAAGCAGCAACTTCAGGTGATGTGCGAATGCGGAGCGCGGCTGCAAGCTCTCCTCCTGATACAGTACAGTCTCTGCAGCGAGCGGTGCCGCAGCTGGCGCAGCCTTCTGACAAAAGTGGTGAGCTCTCTCGCAGCTGGCTCTTGTGTTGAGTGAAGGGGGGCGGAAGATGATTGTGTCGAGAGTCCCGTCAAGCCAGCCAAACGTTGTGCAAGAGAGAGCAAGAGAGCGTGTGTGGTGGTGGGCAAGAAAAGATGGGACTCCAGTTGGATAGTGCCAAAGGTACGCAATTGCGCCAGACTGCACAGTGTGAGCCTCCTCTTGACCGCTCTAGATTGCATCAAATCTCACGGAACCGAACCAGAAATGCGTTTGGAGCATGTGTGCAGGGAGTGTGTTTTTAGGACTAACAGCTGGACACCGATGAATTCACTTCCCCAAACTCCTTTCAGAGTCGCCCCGCGCCATTTCTGGCTCAATCAGTTAGAAATCCAGAAGATAGGGGCTATCAATGAAGCCTCATGATCGCTGCAGGAAAGCTCACACTTGCGAGTCTGAAAAAATAACCGCTTGTATGGGCATGCTTTTTCGCTGCGAATCCTTTCCGCCACCCGACTTGTCCCTGGAGGCCGGAACTTCCCTGCAATAGCTAAAGCGTCTGACACAACCTTCGGTCAAAGATTGTGCTAGGGTGATTACCTATATTACTTGGGGGCTAAAAGAAAAAGGAATTCAATTTCCTGGTGACCATGTGAACAGCGGTACAGTGTACGTGCCAAAACTTGCATTTAATCCATCGCTTTCCACAGCTGGAGATGGTTCTCTCTAGATTTCTTCTTAGGGTGCGTTCCTGGTTCGTGGCAGGGCCACTGTAGCAGGCACTGTTGGTGGCATGCGGGAAAACCGCATGCCACCAACATTTTGCCCGAGTCGCGCGCGACACGATTTTGGTGGAATTGACATGACATTTTTGGGACATTGCCCAATCACGCACCTGTATTTGCGCGCCAAAATTCCTGACACCAACCTGGCGTTTTATGTGTTCGTGGCAGGCTGCCATCTACAGTGGCCCTGCCACGAACCAGGAACGCACCCTTAGTCCATACGCCGATTTACAGTCCACGCAAGCGTCCATCAAGCAGGACAGCTTCTGTGTTGGCCATGGCCCATGACCCCAACAGCTATTGATCAACCAGAAGTCAATCCCATACAGTGTACTGTACGTGCAGTTGAAGTACAACCCAAAGGAGACTAGTGTTAGGCCCCTTGGCCTAAATCCGCAAAGGAATAGCGGGGTTGACTAAATTGAGGATAAGTGCGGCGGAAGACTTCGACGAAAGAGAGTGTTGGCGAAATGGGCGAAGAAGTAACTCAGTAATTGAAGAGTTGAATGAGAATTGATTGATATTGGTGGATACAAGCAAGGATGATATAGCATGCAAGATCGAATGTCGGAAAGTACTCGGTGGGACTAGGAAATGTGATGCAAAGAAAGTAGAGTGCCACGTGGCACTAGGAAATCTAGAAAGATAAGATGAGGATGGGTTGGATGGGTTGGGAAAGTACTGTTCAAAAGGAACAGTAAATCCCCCATGAACACTAGTCTTTTGGTGTAAACTTTCTTAAGTTTGGTTAAACATTTGGTGGTAACACTTTTCGTCAATGTCGCGAAACTTTTTGCCAGAGAATTGTGTGTCCTACCCCTACCTTTTTTCACAAATTAGGACATTGAACCTAGGTCGAGCTTTCAATGCAAACCATTCGTACATGAAAAGCCGATCGTGTGTCCTGCTGACCATGTACATGCAAATCTGCGCATTTCGCGACCGTTACAACACGTATCGTGCGCACAAGGGTTGTCGTTGTTAGAGGAAGGATCTTGGATGGGATGGGAGTGATTAAAACATATATTACACACATAATGAATAGATCTAACAAGCCATATATTCTGAGGGCTACATTCCCTTATTATAACTGGTTTACATGCAACTCTACAATGACTCTGACTATTGCACTTCTTCTTGTTACCGAGTCGCTGCATGTAACCGTGGAGATGGTTACGCCTGTTGCCATTTCTCGATGGTGCGGCAATTGTCAGTTTAGATGGTCAACAGTCGGGACAGTTGATTCTTGCGACTGTTGACCTTCTTGCCCTTGATACGGGCTGATCCGATACTGATGCTAGCAATGCTTCAATAATGACGGGTGCGATACAGCTGCACCTACGGGAATGCTAAACTCAATTCCCTTCATACTCCAACACTCCCCTACATTCCTCGAGGTGCGCCACGTGGCTCTTTCGAACGACTCCACACAGGTACGAGCAGTACTCAACTTCTGACGAGGCAGATTCTTCGTCAGAAAATCAGCTGCCATCTCGCCAGTTGGGCAGTAGATGAGCTAGACCTTCCCCTTGTCGATTTCGTCCTTCACGAAGAAGTAACGCAAGGCGATGTGTTTTGTGCGGTTGACGACGCCCGGCTTGTTTGCGATCTTGATCGCACTCTGGTTGTCGCAGAGTAACTTGAAGGACCCGTTCATCGCCATCTTCGTTTCCTGCAGGAGCTCCGTGAGGTAGTGACCTTCGCAGACTACTGCACTTGCTGCGATGGATTCTGCTTCTGCTGACGAAAGGGCGATGAGCTCCTGCTTCTGTGAGATCCAGGAGATGGTTCTAGCTGGCTCAAGCTTGAAAATGAAGCATGTGCGGGACCTCCTGTTGTCTGCATCCCCAGCATGGTCAGCATCTACGTAGCCGGTAAGCTGTAGAGTAGCCGTTAGATTCGCCTTCTAGGTGAGGCCGACATCGGGCGTAGAGACGAAGTAATGTAAGGCGCGTTGCAGGTCTGCCATGTTTCCCCTTCAGGTCGGCGCAGATACTAGGCAAGGTGGATGGCGATGTAGGATAGGTCCGGGCGGCATGTGACAGCCGCGAACAATAGACACCCGAGCTGATGCTGGTAGAGACGGTGGTCGGCCGGGGAGAGTGGGGTGGTGTCGGGCTCGTGGTTGGGCGGAGGAGTGCGAAACAGGGTGGTAATGCCGATGGGAGCGATGCCGAACTTCTTAGCGAGGGTCTCGACTTATTTCGCGGCGAAGAGTTGGATCGTGTCGGCGGTATGAGTAACTGTTGACGGGAGTGGATTGTTGGCCCCGCTCTCGCTTGGGCAACACCGACATCTTGGTCGGATGTAAGAGAGTAGCAGCCGACCGTTCACAGTGGGAGAGCTGCTCGACAGGATTCGTCGAGCTGCAGGGGACCGCTGTGGTGTTGCTATCGACCAGGGAGCTCGACAGCTACAACTGACGGGTCTGGGCGACGGGTGGGCTGTTGACCAGGTGGGGCAGTTTGACCGGGAGGTCGACGGAGCAGTCCGTCGACCTACAGCTCGACCGGGAGGTCGACGGGGCAGTCCGTCAACCTGCAGCTCGACCGAGAGGTCGACGGGGCAGTCCGTCAATCTGCAGCTCAACCAGGAGGTCGTCGGAGCAGTCCGTCGACCTCCAGTTTGACTGGGAGGTCTATAGAGCAGTCCGTCGACCTGTCAAGTGAGCAGCGGTCGACGAGGGGAGCTCGGCGACAACCGCTGACAGTTCCGGTCAACGGAAGGGGTCCGTCAACCAAGGGGTAGCTCGACAAGAGCCGTGGTCGACCAGAGGCATCTGGTGGTCGACCAAAGCGACCATGTGGTCGACAAGAGGCACCTGGTGGTCGGCCAGAGGCACTCGGTGGTCGACCGGAGGCACTGGTCGTCGACCAGAGCACCTCGTGGTGTCCAGGTCGACCGGGTAACCTGTTCGACGAGTTATGCGGAGGCACGCGGACGTCGTCGAAGGCGCGATGGCGAATGTTAACCTGGTATCCCGAAGTCGATGTGGCTAGTCAAGCGCAGACAACAGCTGACAGATGCCTAACGAGGCAAATCGGGCCAATCGTCTGCTGTGTTCTACCGGGCAACGCTGAACAGCCACTCTGCTGCAGCATTGGCACGCCGTCGACCCGCTCTGTTGGCAGGTCGCCCTTCTGCAGTGCTGGCGCGACTCCTCTACGCAACGCTGGCAGGCGGTCGACCGAACTGTGCTAGTGGTTGACCAGGCTAGCTGCAGGGATGCTAGGTGCCTGAT